AGCCTAAGTATGATATCAAAATTAGAAGGGAATCTCTGTGGAGCCCAGTAGTATGCTGTAAGTTCACATTCACCCAGAAATTCAGGATAAACATTTGGAAATACTCTGTAAATGTGATCAGCTAGGGTCTCAGGAGAACATCTGAATTTAGAGTGGGCCTAAGTCCATTTAGTGGACTCCTTAAGAGGATAAGCCAGGTGTGGTCCCTTACTCCTGGAATCCCGGCACTTGGGAGGCTGAGGCCTAAGCTATACAACAACACCCTGTCTAAACACACAGACACACACAGACACAGACACACACACACACACAGAGACACACACACAGACACACACACACACAGACACACACACAGACACACACACACAGACACACACACAGAGACACACAGATCTGACACTCTTTTCTGGTCTCCTTTGACACTTGCGTTCATGTGCACATACCCACACAGAGACACACATGCAAACATCTAATTAAAAATAAACCCAGAAAAATAGAGTTCCAGAGACTTCCACACTGGGTCCACTGAGACTTAAAAAAAAACAAAAAAAGGATAGTTTTAAAAAAGCACCATCTAGGAAGATGGGTATATTGGTTTCAAGGTCACAAAACCACCACAGAGCTCCACTCACCTCATCTTATTGTTGGTAAAACCTTATGTATAAGGTAAATAAACTGTTTCTGACCCTCCATTTAACTGCCTCAACACATGCACAGACACACACACAGAGACACACACACAGACACACAGACACACAGACACACACACAGAGACACACACACACACAGACACACACACACACACACACACACACAACAAAGGTAGGGAAGACAGAAGGACATGGGTAGATGTCCCATCAAGACAGAGGCAGAGACTGGAACGATGTAGCACAAGCCAAGGAGGCCTGCAGCCACTGAAAGGCAAAAACGCCCTTCCCAGAGTCTTAGCAAGGATGATCCTGAGCCACCTATACCTCAGATTCCTGGCCTACTTTTTACCTGTGGACAGCTTGTCTCTGCCCCATGGCACATCTGGGGTCTCTACTCCACTGGGTCTTAGACCCCAGAAGGAAACCTGGTAAAGTTCTAATTAGCTGGGAAGTCTGCAGGGCCTTCTGGTTTGTCCTGGCATTTTCTGTCCCTGGGCACAGGATGAATGTCTCTTTGCTTCTATTTCAACTAAACAATAGGAAAGGAACAGGTAGGTGAGAGCCTCTATGCACATAGAGAAGGGAAAGCAGAAGGAGCTCTACAAGGCTTGGGATAGACCTGGTGGTGGTTTTAAAGGCAAGTTGACAGCCTCTCCCTGGTGTGCCCCTTGAAGCCCTACAGGAGCTGGAGAGCAGGCCCTGGACCAAGGAGACAGGAGAGCTGGAACAAGGGTTCCAGGCTGGAGATGAAAGTGGGGAAACAGACAAGCTTCATGTCCTGAACTTTAGGTCCCCCGTCCTCAGCCAAGGATAGCCAGGCTGCTGCAGAGGCCCACTGGGACCATCAGTGGGTAACTTCACAGAAGAGACTCTGGAGCCCCAGCAAGGGCAGGCCAGACTCCACAGGCCAAAGTTGCCATGAGAGGGGACCTGGGACCAGAGGGAAGCTGGTCTACTGGAGTGTCTGGGAAATGTCACCAGTCAGAAGGACAGACGTTGGAAGATGGAAAGAATCCAGAAACACAGAAGAAACTGGGAAAACACAGGGCAGATGCATCTTCCAGACAGCCAGGCATGATGCTGAAGCTCCCACAATGCTCCCTGTGTAGAGGTCCCTGGCTACCGCAGGAGAGGCTGGCAACACCCCAAATGACCATCAGAAGCTCAAACAGGCCTGTAGGAATGGCCAGGAGAGGGACATGGCATGCAGCTTGAGGTGGGGAATGGCTGCTGTCATCAGTGAGGAACCTACATGCACTTGGGGCCTGTCACCCCGGCTCACTCATCTCACATGCACTCATCGGGTGTCTTCTTGGGATCACCTGAGGTTGCTGGGGAACAGCCCAGAACCACAGATGCTGGGGGCCCTCAGCCCCATGGCTCTCGTGGTCTTTCTGTGACTACCTCAGGAATAGCACAGTACCTGTCATGTGCTGTTGCCTGGGTGCCTGGACCAGGGAAGGGGAAACTACAAACGAAGACCATTTCTTCTGGGGGTGGAAATGTGACAGAAATGTGTAGTGTTGATGGCTGTACAACCAACACACACTTGGCAGCACATTTTTTTTTTTTGGTAATTTTTATCTTTTTGAGACAGGGTCTCCCTGTAGCCCCAGCTGTCCTGGAACTCACTATGTAGACCAGGCTGGCCTTGAACTCACAGAGATCCGCCTGCCTCTGCCTCCCAAGTGCTGGGACTACAGGTGTGCGCCACCACGCCTGGCTTTTTTGGTAATTTTAAAAATTTGTATTATTTTTATTTTATGTGTATGTGTGTATTGCCTACATGTAGGTAAGTGCACCCATGTTGTGCAATGCCTGTGGAGGTCAGAAGAGGCTGTCGGATCCCCTGGAACTGGAGTTATGGACAGTTATTAGCTGCCATATGGGTGCTGGGAATCGAACCCAGGTCTTCTGCAAGAGCAGTGTTCTTAACCGCTGAGCCATCTCTCCAGCCCCCCCCTTTTTTAAAAAATAAATTTTTATTATTTTTATGTGTATTTGTGTATTGCCTACACACCCGTGTCATGCAATGCCCGTGGAGGACAGAACAGGCTGAATCCCCTGGAACTGGAGTTACAGTTGTTAGCTGCCATGTGGGTGCTGGGATGCGAACCCGGGTCTTCTGTAAGAACAACCAGTGTTAACCGCTGAGCCATCTCTCCAGCCTCTGTCCTTATTTTTTAAAATTATTTTTATGTGTGTTTTGCCTGCACATATGTAAGTGCACTTGTGTGTGCAATACCCCTGGAAATCAGAAGAGGGTGTCGGATCTCCTGAAACTGAAGTGATGGACAGTTGTTAGCCACCATGTGGGTACTGGGAATTGAATCCAAGTCCTCTACAAGAGCAGCCGGTGCTCTTAACAGCCTAGCCATCTCTACAGCAGCTTCTTTTCGTTTTTAAGGCAGGGTCTCAAGTAGCTACTGGCTAAGTAGCTGAGGATAACTCTGATTTTCTGATCCTCTTGCCTCTACCTTCCAAGGACTAGGACTACAGGTGTGCACCGCCCTTGATTATTACTATGTGTTTTTCGCAGACCCAGACCCCCGCAGATGCTGAGCACGTGCTCTGCTGCCCCACCACACCTCAGCCTCCAGAAGCACAACTTTATTCATTTCTTTGTGTGTATGTTTTGAGACGGGGTCTCCTGTAGCTCCAGCTAGTCTGAAACTCATGATGTAGACTCAGAGCTCTGCCTCCCTCCCCTTGCCTTCTGAGGGCTGGGATTGAAGGCCCCAAACCCAGGCCCAATAGCACAAACTTAAAAGGGCTTCTTTATGGCATGCATGTTCTCTCTCAGAACACAAAACTGGCCAGCACTGACCTCTGAGGCCAATGATGGGACTACGTTAGCTTTCCCCTCTCCAAGAACAGCATTGGGGAGGAAACAGCCTCAGAAACAATGACACCACCTTCCTCAGGGTTGGCCCAGAGCGACAGCTTGCAAGCTGTTGTTACTGTGGCAGTGGTCCTGGAGCTGGCTTTCTGGAGCCACTGGTCAGACCTCAGTAGCTTGTGTGGCAATCGAACCCTGGCTGAGGATGGCTGGTGGTTCCAGGGATAGTCAGCCTACTCCCAGGTCTCCAGGCCCCGGGGAGGTGTCTTGAGGGCCCCCAGAGCACAGCAGGCACAAAGATGAAAGCCAGTGGTGGATAATTATCGCTCTCAAGCCTGGCCCTACAAAACCCTCTGTGATGACCTGAAAGAGAAAGCAATAGACACGAGACCCGCCCTGGCCTCAGAAAGCCAGGACCTTTGAAATTATAAGACATTAGAATAAAGCTTTGGGGAAAAGGACCTCGTGTTCCAGCTGCAGATCAAAACGGAATTGCTCCTGAAAGCCCAGGGCAGGCCTGCCATCCCAGCAGCCCCACCCTAGTATGTAGAGGGCACCTCCCCACACGCAGCAGCATGGCTAACCACACTCTGGGGTAGGGGTCTCCCCAAAGGTGAAGCCCTTTGCTTCCATCTGTCCCCTCACTGTACCTCTAGGGCCATAGTAAGGCATCAATCTTCCCTGGGGTACATACTGGGATACAGCCATCAGCCTGTACACCTGTGGTCGGTCGGTCAGTCAGTCAGGCGTCTTGTGCTAGGGATAAGAGGCGAGGGTAAAAGGAGCAAGGGCACCCCATCAGGAGGGCTGGTGTTGGCTCACAGGGTCAGGTAGGTCAGCGGGTAGAGCCTGCCCAGGACTCTTATCCTTCTTTCACGCCCTGTTGGACTGCGGCTATCTAACAGGGACAATGCTGCCAATTCAAGGCTCACATCCCCTTTGGTTGACAACTTGCCGGCGCATCCTGATGAGGAGCCAGAAGCCGCGTGCCTGGGTCGGATATTGGGTGCATTCAGACGTGAAGCCCAAGACTGCCTTGGCATTCGGCCCCCACAGAGCTCAGCACAGCATTCTGGGAACACTCCTCAGCTGGCTGGCGTCAGAGAACAAAGCGTGGCCACTGCCCGCTGCCTCCCTGACACCCTGGTACAGCAGAGAGCTCCGTGAGAGACTGGTGGGGGTCCCACTGCTCTGCAGGGCTGTGGGCAGATCCCACCCCAGGAGGAAGCCACGGGCTGCTGTGCTCCCCCAGGCGGCTCCTCTAGGCCCCCAGTGTGCAGTGTGCCTCCCTTAGTCAGCAGCACTGCCCTCCTACTAATGAGGTGTTAATTAGCACAAATGAGTCAACCTCAGCAAACCAGTCAGCAAGGGCAACAGGTATGCTGAGCCTGGAGAGCAGTTTGGGTGTGTCAGGTGGCACAGAATATTCCATCCTTCTAGGCTAGAGGGTGGGGGGGCACCTTAGTGGGGAGCCCCAATTTGGTGGGAAAACAGAGACACTGACACTCAAATATTTACAAGCACTTTCTCTCAGTGTTCAAAGCTGCCCACATTTTACAACGAGGTTTGCTTTTGTCTTTGGTGGCCCCTGGCCCACCCCACCCCACAGACCCTGGGGCAAGCTGCCGCTGAGTGCTACCAGCTGAAAGGCTGCCGGCCCTGCCCTAGCTCAGCCTCCACATAGGAATCATGCAGCACCTTCAGACGAAGCAGCAGCTGCTCTAAGTTCTCCCCTGTCAGTGCTGACAAGGCGATGACCTCCGCCAGTCCCAGGCGGGCCTGGAGCTGGGGCAGGTGGGCTCTGGCCTGCGGGAGATCCAACTTATTGGCAACAATCACATGGGCTCGCTCGGACAGGCCTTCTTCATACTTCTCCAGCTCATATTTTAAATCATCAACCTGAGTCCATGGCTCGGGCAGGGAAAGATCCACCACGAACAGGAGGAAGCGGCAGCGCTCGATGTGCCTGAGGAAGCCGAGCCCCAGGCCCTTGTTCTGGTGTGCGCCTCGGATGATGCCCGGGATGTCCGCCACTGCAGGAGACAGAACTCAGAGTCAAGGTCATGCTTGGGCTGCCCCATGTGCCTTTCAACCTTGGGGATGGGAGGGGAGACCTGGAGACCCCTTCTGGGCCAGAGCTCATGTTCTACAACTTTCCTTTCAAGGAACACCCGAGACTGAAGCCCTTCATCCGCCTCCAGGTGACTCAGCAGACCAAGTGACACTGAGGCACCTCAGCTTTCAGGTTTGCAACATGCTCTGAATATTTGGGTGCCAGGCACGCGGATCAATCTAATGAGAAATATTTAACACATGCCTGTCTCTCTGGCTTCAAACATAATTCAGAAAAGGGGAAAATGGCTCCTTGCACTCTATGAATAATTTGATTACTGATAAAAATCATTATAGCGCACTTTGCAGATATAAAGTGCTATACAAATAACCTTACCAGCAGGCTTACTATTTTTAATGGGTACATTATCTTCTGGAAAAAAGTTTTCCTCTCTCAAAACGGTACAGGGAAAGCTTTTTAAATCACACGCTGTCTGCATGACTGGCGCTGCCGAGTGCCACAGGAGACAGCGAAGGCAGCGAGAGGAAACCCTCTCCTCAGGCTCCAAACTCAAGATTCCATTTCTAAACTGAAGCTATCGGATTCTGGGCTGGGAGAGGAGGGGCTCATTTCGACAGAGAACAGGTTCATTAAAATTGTTTCAATCAGGAAAAACAATGTAACATTTTACATAGGAAGCTAAACCAGGGTTATGTAATTACTCTCCTGAATCACTGTATCATTAAGCCCCACCTCTGGCGGTGCTGGAGGCTCTACCTGCTAACTGCTGGTGACCAGCATAGGGAACGATCCCCACATGGGGCTTCAAGGTGGTGAACGGGTAGGAAGCCACAGTGGGCTTTGCATTTGAAATGGCTCGGAGGAGCGAGGACTTCCCAGCATTGGGAAAGCCAACCTGGAAAGAAAAGCAAAGGTGCTGTGTGACCTCATGGAGGGACCTTGTCACTGCCACCACAGCTGACAGGAACAGGGGCCTGGGATGGGGTAGGTGACTGTGTAGGCAGACACTGGCCAGCAGCACATGCAAGGGAGAATAAATGAAAGCTGCCCTTCTCTCCTGGGCCACTGTCAGGGACCCACCACCCCAGCATGGGCACCCCAGCATGGGCCACCGTCAGGGACCCACCACCCCAGCATGGGGCCACCACCAGGGACCCACCACCCCAGGGTGGACCACCGTTAGGGACCCATCACCCCAGCATGGGGCCACTGTCAGGGACCTACCATCCCAGCGTGGGCCACCGTCTTGAGCTCTAGATAGAGAACACGCTCCTGACCTGGCTGTCCAGGGGTACATGTTATTGGGGCACGGTTGTCATTGGCCAAGAAAAAGCGGTTGCCTTTTCCTCCAGCACCCCCCAGTGCAGCAACATATTCGTCACCAGGGTGGGACAGGTCAGCAACAATCTCACCTCCTTCCTTCACCAAGGTGCCCACAGGGACCTGAAAAGCAGCACCACTGTGGGGTTCTAGTCTACGACTAGGAAAAGGTAGGGTAGAACACTGCTGACCTCTCCCCTCAGTCCTCAGAACAAAGAAAAGGCCCCACCCCTCAGATTTCATGGGGCTGGCACAGCAGCATCTGCCTGCACTCCTAGTCCTCAGAAGGCTGAGGCCGGAGGATCGCAAGCTCAAGGCCAGCCTGAGGTAGAGTGAGGCTCTCTCACAAAACAAACACCCAGCTGCATAAGCGGCCTTTTTGAAGTATTTCTGTACCATCAGAGACAACAGAAGCAGCAGGAAAACAGCCCGAGAGCAGCAGCCCCATGCGGGCACGCAGCTTGAGCTCGGATGGGAGGAGGGCATGCTTTGGGGTCCATCCTCAGCCTAATTCTTCTGGACCCTCCTGGTCAGAAGCACATGGCACCATACCAGGACAAAGGGGCTCTCATGGGACCGTGACTTCAGAGACGACCTCTCTTGCCCGCTGTTCCTAGCCAAGTGCCTCTCATCACCCACAGACTTGGTGACTTGACAACCAAAGAACAGCTGCCTGCAGTGCCCTCAGCTTACCTGGACATAGAGGACGGCGCCACCTCGGCCAGAGCAGTTCTTTCTGCTGCCATCTTCTCCACTGAAACCCCGATACTGGGACAGGACGGAGGACAGGGACTTGATTTGCTGGTCAGCTAGAGCAAGAGCAAGAGCCTCATGTTCCTTTGCATCAAGACAGAGCTGTTACCTGGACTCATGGCCCCTTGTCCACATGGGGCCGACTGGGCTGTGAGGAGACCAGCAGCCTCTCGCTCTTCAGGCTCGCCCCCGCCGGGTGTGCTCAAGGCCAGAGGGAGCACGCTCTCTCGCTACCCTAACCTGAACAGAACATGACTTTTTTGAGATAGAGGTCTCTGTAACTCTGGCTGGCTTGGAAATTAGAATCAGCTTAAGCTTGTAACAGTCCCCTGCGCCTACCTTCGGAGTGCTGGGATCACAGGAATGTATTACCACGCACAGCAGAACAGGACTGAAGAAAGTGAAGTTCTTACTTTCCTTCAGAAAACAGTGACATTTCAGGAAAACCTGGAGTCCTCACGATGCCATCAATGAAATAAACAGCTACTTCATTACACTGTGAAGAAGCCTGCGCCCCCTCCCTGAGCATTTTTGCTGAGTGTGTGCTCAACACTCCCTGGCCCGCTGATGCACTTTCTGACCCTGTGACATGTGTTATCAGAGGCTCCTGATAGGAAACTGTCTCTGTGTTTCTGATGTGAAAGAGCAGAGCTGACACCCAAAGCCGCTTTTAGTGCACTGCTGATGAACAGCCACAATTCATAAAAATGTTATCTACACATCAAAGCTGCAAGACAACACATATCAGGATAAGGAGGTGGAACCTCCACCACTGTGTACAGCTGGCTCCCCCTCAGCGGCTCCCAGGGCACGTGCCTCTCAGGATGACATGGCCGCCATTGCCTCCATCACCACCATCAGGGCCTCCGAACTCCTTGCGAGGTTCACTGTGGAAGCAGCTCATGCCGGACCCTCCATTTCCTCCACGAACCAGCACTCTCCGGTGGTCCACAAAGTGCCTTTTCTACAGAAAACACAAGGTACCCTAGGGTGTTAGCAACCCTCTGAAACCCTTTGAGGAGACCAAGCACCTACTTGGTACACACCTCTCTTGCCTATCAAAATCAGAAGCCAGTGATGCTCTTTCCTAAAATCCACAGGTAAAGCCCGGCTCCCAGGTCGCCAGCACTGGCAGGTTGGAGTGAACACTGCAGACACGATGGCTGGCTGGTGTGGAATGCACACTTCAAAAGGGAACTCGGCAGTTCTGACCTGGAGAGCACAGCGTGTTTAGGAAATGTTCCCTGAACAAAGCGTCCTTCCAGCTCCTTTCAAACAGAGCTGCATTACTGAAACCCAGGCCTGTCTTCACTCACGGCAAGTGGGAGCTCCTTAGGGTGGAATGAAGTAGAGTCCTTCAACAATGCCTAGGCTTGAGCTATGAGAGACAGCTTTCCAGGGTATAACACAAGGCTTACATATGGGATGCAGAGGCAGGCAGAACCTTCTCAGGAGGGTTCTCTTCAGGCCCCTTTAGGAGGCAGGTACAGAGTGAAAGAATAAGAATTAACCAGCTAGGAACCAGGGTACATACACAGACAGACACACACACATATATAAATAATATACATGTATTTATATAAATTTTTTTGAGACAGGATCTATAATGTAGCCTAGGATGGCCTCCAGCTGTGAGCCTCTGGAGTGTGGGATCACAGGTATAGTGCCATCATGCCTGGCTGTGTTAACATTTAGTGCACATTAGCTCCTCCTTCAAATGCAGCTCCTAGGGCCATAGGCACTGCCCTTACTGGTACTCACAGACACCAGCTTTCTATAGGCCTCTGCCACAGCCCTGCCTGGTGACCACCCACAACTCTCACCAGGACCTGGTATCTGCATTCCAGTATTTCCATCTAAAAAGACTGTAAATGGACTTTTTGGGGGGAGGGGGTAAGTTCCAGAGGCTGAACCCAGGATCAGGGCTTTAACACACTCTACCACTGAGCTCGATCCCCAGCACAGGATTGTTTTTAAGGAAAAAGGACATCCAGCAGGTGGTGGTAGAGGAGGCACTCACCACAGGTAAGGCTCTGGATTTGACCACTAGAACCACAAAAATAAACAAAAGTCCCCGAAGCAGATGTTCTAGGGTTCCTTGGCAGCACCACACGGAAAACTGTCAACTCTATTTCAGAAACGATTTGATTTTGCTATGCGCCAACACCATGGGAATCCACCTCACAGGGGAGAGCTTGAGGGGGCGGCTGTGGGGGCCTATCAACTGTCAGGAGAGACTCAGCTCAAGTGTGGGCTGCCAGGAGGGGCGAGCCTCAAGGAAGCCTTGGCACCGTGGTGGTCCATAGCCTGGCCACCAAAATTCTTCTTTGTGAGAAGTGCTACTTTTCCTCAGCTGCTTGTCTGAAGTCCCTCCACGGAGGGCGTCCTAATGTAGAACTTTTGTTAGACTTTTAATTAATTTATTTAATTTTGTACCTATGAGTTTTGCCTGCATGTATGCAAGTGCACCTGTGTCACACAATGCCTGTGAAGGCCAGGAAAGGAGGTTGGACTCCTTGGAATTGGAGTCGAACCCAGGTCCTCTGCAAGAGCAGCCAGTGCTCTTAACCACTGAGCATCTCTCTAACCCCCATGTGTAACTTCCTGAGTTTCATCAAAGACTACCATGTTTATTTTTTTTATTTTTTTCGTCTTTTTGAAGCAGGGTCTCCCTGTAGCCCCAGCTGTCCTAGAACTCACTATGTAGACCAGGCTGGCCTTGAACTCACAGAGGTCCACCTGCCTCAGCCTCCTGAGTGCTGAGATTAAAGGCGTGTGCCGCCATGCCTAGCTTATTATTTTTATGTGTATGTATATTGCCTGCATGTATGTACGCGCACTCATGTTGTGCAATGCCCATGGAGGTCAAAAGGGGTCATCAGATTCCCTAGAACTGGAGTTATGGGTGGTTGTTATCTGCCATGTGGGTGCTGGGAATCGAACCTGGATCCCCTGCAAGAGTAGTCAGTGCTCTTAAATGCTGAGCCATCTCTTCAGCCCCTTAAAAAAAGTATGTGTGTGAGTGCTTTGCCTGCATGTCTGTAAGTACACCCACATATACGGTACTTGCTGAGGCCAGAAGGGGGTATCAGATTCCCTGGAACTGGAGTTACCAATGGCTGTTAGCTGCCACGGCCACATGGGTGATGGGAACCAGGTCCTCTGTAAGAGCAGCCAGTGCTAAGCCGTCTCTCCAGCCCCCATCATTGTTTTTTTTTTTTTTTTAATATTTTATTTATCATTTTTATTTCATGTGTACGAGTGTATTGTCTGCATGCATGTGAGTGCACCCGTGTCATGCAATACTGTGCGGAGGTCAGAAGAGGGCTTCAGATTCCCCTGGAACTGGAGTTAAGAACGGTTCATAGCTGCCATGTGGGCGCTGGGAATGGAACCCAGGTCCTCTGCAAGAGTGGTCAGTGCTCTTAACCACTGAGCCATCTCTCCAGCCCCCCCATCATGTTTTAAATAAAAGGTTCTGAGGCTAGGCATGGTGGTGCACACCTTTAATTTCAGCACTTGGGAGGCAGAGGCAGACTGTGAGATTGAGTCCAGCCTGTCTATAAAGTGAGTTTATATAGTGAGTTTCAGGCTAGTCAGGGCTACAGGGAGATAGTCCTGCTCTCCAAAATAAGTGAATGAAATAAAACAAATAGAAGGATCTGGCAAAATATTTACTGTAAGGGCTAGGGAGATCAATACCAGTATGTACTTGCCTTACAAACATGTGAACCTGATCACCAGAACCCATGTAAACATGCTGGGTGTGGTGGCATGTACCTGGAATCCCAGTGCTAGGGAAGCAGAGCCAAGGGCTCACCAGCTAGTCAGTCTAGCCCAACGGATGAGCTCCAGGCCAATGAGAACCCATAATGGAGGTGGACAGCAGTCCTGAGGGGGACACCCGAGGTCCTCCTCTGGCTTCTATACATGTGAACGTCACATGCATACGCTCATACAAATTTAAAAAACAAACAAAAAACCTCATTGTAAGCTTTAAAGAACTTAAAACTTAAAAGATCTAGCCTCCAGATTCTAAACAGAATTATGCATGCACATTCAAAAAAAACCTCAAACAAATTAAAGAAAGAAATACAGCGGGCATGGTGGCACACACCTTTAATCCTAGCACTCGGGAGGCAGAGGCAGGAGGATCTGGAGTTTAAGACCATCTTCAGCTCTGTAGAGAGCCTAAGGGGCATCTGGGTAATATGGGTCCCTCTCTCTAAAAACATACTTTTTTTTTTTAGGGCTGGGATGTAGTTTAGTGTTTGAGCCCCTGTCTAACTTGCCCAAGCAGCCCTGACCCCCATCTGCCCTCAGCCCCTCCCTGGGCTGCTGTGCTGCTTGTAAGTCTTTGGCACACAGGCCGCATTCAAGGCCGCCGAGTGGCCCTCAGCATTATCAGGGCAAGCCACAGTAGATAAAGAGGGGTTGCCCTCCCCAGGCTGACACTCACCAGTTTTTTCTCTGACAGTGGCTTTTTTCCAGAGGGTTCCTGGTGCTTGGTGTGGTCTGCACAGCCCACTGACAGCAGTCTGGATGATCCTTGTAGTGGAAGGAGCCGGCCAGGCTCAAGGCCAGTCCATGTGGATGGAGCCCACTTCATCAAGCTTTTCAACACAGTGCAAGATCTTTCGGGAAGAGGCCTGGCAGGTATCATGACCCTAACAGGAGTCAGATGAGCACAGTAAGACACCTGAACATCAAGCTGGAGCTGGAGCCTGGCACACAGCAAGAATCCCGAAGTGAGCCAGAGAAAATGAACTGACTGGCTCAATCCCGGTGCGCACGGAGGCTTCTGGCACCACATGCTTATCTGCACATGGGGAGGACCCATGTCATTAAATCTCCCACAACATTGAGTGTACCTCCCTAGGGAATATAAGGTAACTGCTCAGTGAGATTATTAAAAGAGAAAATCTAAACCACAAATCAGAATTTCTCCAAAATAAAAACAGCCATTTGCTTAAATGTTAGAGTATATTATCTGTGCAGCTCAAAATATCACAGTGGAGTATGAGAAAACTATACCATGACACCTGTGTACCCAGGGCAGATAATGCCCACCTCAGCTTCATTCCTGGGGTGACACAGGGAGGGTCACACACCTGCTACCTCAGTCTCCTCCCCTGAAAGTACACAGACCAAGCGAGGACGGGCCGACCCACATGGGTGCATGGCAGCTCCTGTCCTACTGTGAACACAGTGAGTGATATCTATGTGGTCTCGGCCTCTGTTCCTCTCAGAGCGCCATCTTTCTAATTTCCTGAGATGAGAGAGATGGAGCATCTGACCCAGAGCCACTGAGCCCAAGTGACAAGAGACTTTTGCTCTAATGAGGTAAGCTTGGCTCCTGGACAACATGGGGGAAGGGGAGCAGGCGGCTGGTCTCCACAAAGCCTGGCCAGAGTTGAAGCCTGAACTTCTTTCTCACCCACTCTCCGGCAGGGTAAGTGGCTAGGGAGAGTCAGAAACAGTTGTGCCCACATGATGACATGCCTAAGAAACCATTAGGCCTCAGGAAAGCTGGGCTGTCCTCTGGCTCCACAGGGAGGGCCACTCCTGTGCAGGGGCCTGTCTGCCTGGTTACTTCACAGGGATCTAGTAGCACAGCGCCCTGAACCCATGTGGGCACTCTGCTCCCTGACAAGCCAGTTTATACATTTTACGCACACACGGCCTCCCAGGTCAGTTCCTGCTGCACTGCCACCTCCATTTGTTTGCAGACTGTGACTGGTGCTACTTGGCCAGCAGAAGCCCATCCCGTGGTTTCATGTCCTCCTGGCCTGTGCTGTGGGTCTCAGCACCTATCCACATCCACAGGGGCCCCAGCAATGTCTTCCTCCAGCCCAGCCCTACAGACAGCCTCACCTCTAGGAGCCCTAGGCACATATCTGGATGCTGTGTGTGCTCACTCCTGCCCCAGAGTTCTGGTGGCAGTGTATGGGCATCCATGCTTACATCTCCAGGGAGGTCGACACCTGTCAGTCTGTATCATACACACACCACACCTGCCGGAAACCCAAGTTCATATGGATATATACAACTAAGCACTACAGCACCACTCAAACGCCCCTTCTGTCTTTGTGGCTCTGCTCTCAATGGCAAGAGCCCGAGCTTCCTAAGCTCCCTTTACCCTATCCTTACTGCATTAAAATTTTTTCTATTATTTTTATTTTATGTGTATATTACCTACATGTACGTAAGTGCACCATGTCGTGCCCATAAAGGTCAGAAGAGGGCGCTGGATCCCATGGAACTGGAGTTATGGACAGTTGTTATCTGTCATGTGGGTCCTGGTAACTGGACCCGAGTCCTCTGCAAGAGCAGCCAGCCCTCCTAACTGCTGAGCTATCTAGTCCCTTAAAAAAAAAAAAAAAAAAAAACTTTATTATTTTTATTTTATGTGTATGCGTGTATTGCCTGCATGTAGGTAAGTGCACCCATGTCGTGAAAAGCCAAAGAGGTCAGAAGAGGCTGTTGGATCCCCTGGGACTGGTGTTCTGGACAGTTGTTAACTGTCATGTGGGTGCTGGGATTCGAACCCAGGTCTTCTGCAAGAACAACCAGTGTTCTTAACCACTGAGCCATCTCTCCAGCCCCAGTTCCCGTCCCTCTTTTTCTGGAGATGGGGTCTCCCTGTAGTTCCATCTGGCCCGGAATTCACTATGTAGATCATGCTGCCCTTAATCTCACAGACCTGCCTGCCTCTGCCTCCTGAGTGCTGGGATTAGGACATGGACTACCAAACCGGGCCTTACTGCATTTCTTTATGTGCCCAGCACCCAGCCTAATGCCATGGCAAACTTCCTCCTCCACATGCTGGTTCACCACTCCTTGGTGACACCCTCCTCTTGCTTTCTCTCCCATGAAATGTGCCCCACCCCCCAGGGCCTCACAAAGCTATGCAACTGTTCTATCACTACACTCCTAGTTCTAGCTGTCAATGTTTTCTACAGTAAATTTACTTTAGAATGACTGTAGGTTTACAGAGTGGCAAAGGGACCCCCATGTACTTCATGTGTAGTACTCTGAATCAACACCTTGTGTCAAACGGATGTATCGTGAAGGAGTCAAACACAAGAACAAACAGCCCCCAAATTATATTTGCTAGCAAAGAATATTCCCAAACTCCAGATTTGAGTTGTTTTCCTTGTAAATTCTACCAAGAAATAACCCTAATCTTACATCGGACCACTATTCAACCTAATACTAAAACCTCCTGACTTTTACAAAAAAAAGCCAGGAATACAGAAGCAAAGGACCCTGAACATGCCGTTCAGCAGATGCTGGCATCACAAAGGACCACAGACCAGCATCCAGCAGGCTCTGCTGTGTGAACACAGGGCCACCTCTGCAATTAAAACCCAGCTGGCTTGCCTTAGCATATTGGCAGACTCTGGGACCTTCTCAACACCCAGCTGAGATCAGGAAAATCAGTGCCCCTACAAACAGGAAGGGAAAGGAATGTCACCTGGTACAGGGCAAGTGACAGGCAAGGGCTAAGCTAATGTCACACTTAATACAGAGAGAGTACGTGCTGTCCCTGTGATCAAGAGAAAGGCAGGTGCTCGCTCCTATAAACACAGGTCTTTGAGAAAAAAAAAAAAAAAAAAAAAAAAAAAAAAAAAAAAAAGAGTTGGGGCTAGAGAGATGGTACAGAGGTTAAAAGCATGTACTGCTCTTGCAGAGGACCCAGGTTCAATTCCAAATACCCATGTCAGATGGCTCACAGCTCCAGAGAAATTCAACAATCCTGGCCTCCACGAGCACCCATATTCATACTCAAATACCCATATACAGGCACACAATTAAAAAAAAAAAAGGAAGAGGTAAAATTGCCCTTACTTGTAGGAGGGCTCATTGCACAGAAAATCCCAGAAAATCTGCAAACCAAGATCAGAACTAACAAGTGAACTGGGTGAGGCTTCAGGCTACAAGGTTAATTTAAAATATCAAGTGGGGAAAAAAAAAATCAAGTGGAAGCCTGGCCTGGTGGGTCACGCCTTTAATCCCAGCACTTAGGAGGCAGAGGCAGGCGGATCTCTGTGAAATGGAGGCCAGCCTGTTCTACATAGTGAGTTCCAGGCCAGCTGGGGCTACAGGGAGACCCTGTCTCAAAAAAACACAAAACAACAAAAATATCAAGAGTATTCCTACCTTCCAGCAGCAAACAGAAATTAAATCCGTTTTACATAGTGCCACTTATGAAAAGGAGTCAGAGTGAACAACGACCATGGGTAGTGGACAGATGGTTCAGTGGTTAAGACCACTGGTTACTCTTTCAGAGGACCCAGGTTCAGTTCCCAGCATCCACAAGGTGGCTAACAACCGTCCATAACTCCAGTTCTGGGGATCTGACACCCTCTTCTGATGTGAGGAACTTATATACACGTAGGCAAAACATTCATACACATAAAATAAAAATAGAAAAAAAACCCATAAAACAAACACAAGTCAGGTAATGGTAGCTCATGCCTGTAATCCTAGCACTTGGGAGGCTGGAGCAGGAGGATTTTCTAGAGTTTAAGGTCAGCCTGACCTACATAATGAGTTCCAGGTCACTACAGGGTATAGAGTGAGACCCTGTCTACACACACACACAGCAGCAGGCTTGGTGATGTACTTGAGCGGTAGAGGTAGGAAAATCAGGAGTTCAAAGTCAACCTCAGCTATAGAGTGAGTGTTAAGGCAGCCTGAGATACATGAGACCTTGCTTCAAAGTACCAAACAAAAGAAACCAAACCAGCCAACCAGCCCACCCAACTACTCCAGACCCTAACTGCACTATTTTGCAAGATCCTGTTAATTCAAAGTGGTTTCTAGGGATTAATACAGTCTATCCTAGTTAAAAAAATAAATAAAAATAAAAAAATCTATGAAGAAAACATTTTTGATTTATGTGCATGAGAAAATCCTTTTATTACCCCCATTTTACAAAGGAGGAAACTGGGCTAGAGAAATGGCTCAGCAGTTAAGAACACTGACTGTCCTTACAGAAGACCCGGGTTCGAATCCCAGCACCCACATGGTAGCTAACAACTGTCCATAACTCCAGTTCCAGGGGATCCGACAGCCTCTCTGTTCTCTGCAGGCACTGCACGACACGGGTGCACTTACCTACATGCAGGCATAACACTCATATACATAAAATAAAAATAATAGGCCAGGTGTGGTGGCGCATGCCTTTAAGCCCAGCACTCGGGAGGCAGAGGCAGGCAGATCTCTGTGAGTTCGAGGCCAGCCTGGTCTACATAGTGAGTTCCAGGACAGCTGGGGCTACAAGGAGACCCTGTCTCAAAAAAGACAAAAAAAACACAAACAAAACAAAAAATAAAACATTTGAAACAAAGGAGGAAACTGAGGCAGAGTGGGAAGGTAATTCACCAACATCCTGATCTCTTGGGGAAGAGTGGCAGGAGGGGGTACAGGGGGGTTAGGGGAAAAAGCCCAACTCACAGCTCTGGCTCCTCACCTGAATTCACCTGCAGCTAAGCCTGCAGGATCCGGTCATCTATGCCATCCCAGCACTGGTAGAGTGAAGCCTGAAGGTCAAGAACAGGAAGGGGGATCAGTGCAAAGTCACCTGCGTCCTGACTCCACACAGGGCCTAATCTGGCATGCTTCCTCTTTCTGCTCTTTCAGTGTGCATGTAGACACACTGAGTGACATGGCTCCTCACCAGGAGGGACTCCACTGCTTTCCCATTATTGCTCAATCTCTAATTTTCTCCCTCCTAAGGCTGTTCCTGCACTGTCTGATACAATGTCCACTAGCCACCTGGGGTTGACAAGGCTAAGATTATATAAAATGGGGCTGGGGATATGGCTTAGTGTTAAGTATGAAGATGTGAGTTGAGACCCCAGCATTCATGTAAAAAGCTGGGTGTGGCCACCTGTAACCCCCACATGCTGCAGGGACTGAGATACAAAGATCACAGGCTTGCTGGCCACCAGCTGAGATCCAGTTTCAGTAAGAAACCCTGTCTGTGGGGAATAAGACCATCAATAGACACATCATCCTTTTCACCGGCTTGCTTAGGTGCACACACTCAAACACGTGACAGTAAATAAAGTCTAAGGCCTGTTTTTCAGTGCCACAGGCTACATGGGTCACCTTGGGTAACATGGATCAGGACCCTGCCACCACCTCAGAAAGTCCTACTGGGCACTGTGCACCTGGCCTGTACAGAGGGAGCCCAGGCGAGTGAGCCCATTTCCCTTCTAGCAAGCCTTTGCTGGGCCCAGTGAAGAAAGTCTGGGTCTGGAGTCTAACAACAGATGCTTTAAGACTAAACAAAGGCTTTGACAAATGTAGGAAATGGAGTCATGGTGGGAAGGGCTCTACACTGGACATGGTCAGATCACTGCTACTATACAGAACGCTGGGCTCCTAGCTATTGGTCCACAGACAATACTGTCAGGAAGCTTCTCTACTGATTTTACAGTGTATTCCTTAGCAGTGGGTGGGTGGTGCACACCTGAAATCCCAGCACTTGGGAAGCAAGATCTGGGTTTGAAGACCAGTCAACGTTATAATACCAGACCCGGGGGCTGCAGCTTAGTGGTAGAACACTTGCCTAGATGTGCAAGGCCCTGCGTTCCATTCCCAGCAACACCAGACTTGGCTTTCATTGTCATTTTGATTTTCTTGAGACAGGCTGCCCTAGAGCTCATGGAAATCAGCATCCCAATGCTAGGATTATAAATATGTGCCACAATATTTAGATTGAGAAAAAGTACTTTTTTTGGAGACAGGGTCTCCCTGTAGCCCCAGCAGACCTGGAACACACCAGGCTGAGACCTGGCTGGCCTCAGTCTTAAGAGAGATCTGCCTGCCTGTGTCCCAAATGCTGGGATTAAAAGCATGTGCCACCACATCAGGCCCAAGAAAATAAAAAATAAAAATTTTTAGATTTATGTGTGTGTGTTTGCCTACACATATGTATGTGCACCACATGCATGTAGTGCCTATGGAGTCCAGAAGAGGGCATCAGATTGCCTGGAACTGGAGTTACAGTTGTGAGCCACCATGTGGGTGCTGTGTACTGAACCCAAGGTTCTCTGTAAGAGCAGCTGCTGCAACGTAACTTCTGAACCACCTCTCTAGTCCTGAGAAAAAATATTTTTTAAAAAGCATCCCTGGGGATTTAACTCAGTTGGTAGTACCTGCAGGGCATGCAGGAGGCCCTGGGTTTGCTCCCTAGCACACATAAACCAAGTATGGTGGCAGAAATCTGTATTCTCAGAACCTGGGAGGTGACATAGAGGATCAGAAATTGAAGGTCATCCTTAGCTATATAGCAAGTGACTCCAAGTCACTCCCCCAGGATACATAAAACCCTGTCTAATAAGTTTTTTTAACCCAGGGTTTAAGTCATAATTTTTCCATTTATTCCTTCCATAGGCAAATCATGCCAAGGTGTGTACGCTGTTCGCTGATTCATAGTGCTAATGTTAACGTTCTTAAAGTTTCCATTGTTACAGGACATGGATATTGCTGCTTTCGCTACATGGTGACAGTTAATCACCTACATTTTGTGATCAAACATCCAATAAATGTACACGTTGTTTTATTTAGATAATTACAAGCTGTTCACTTAATAAATGTGTCCAACAAAGCTATGTGGACCCTGCCCACGGGGCCTGTGGGAACTGGAAAGCAGCCGCCCTCCCCAAAGTTTCCTAGACTGAAGGCCTCAGGGGCAAGCAGGAAAGCCTCCCCTAGTCCCCTGGGCATCTCACTTGGTTTAGCTTCTCTACTCTCTTTTTTTTGTGTGTGTGTGTGGGGGTCTTTTTGAGACAGGGTGTCCCTGTAGCCCCACCTGTCCACCTGTCCAGGAACTCTCTATGTAGACCAGGCTGGCGTTGAACTCACAGATATCCGCCCGCCTCTGCCTCCCGAGTGCAGGGATTAAAGGCGTGTACCACCACGCCGGGCTTACTCTACTTTAATCGAATGCTCCCAGGCACTTCCTCTGGCAGCATCCCCTGTCCTTGAACCTAAGGTCCCCACCCCGAGGCCCGCCACGCAGCCTTTCCAGGAGAGCTCGGCGGGGACGAGCTTCTGTCACTAGTTTCTGCGACATGGCCTCGCTACGTCGCCCAGGCTGGCCTCGAACTCCTGGCTCCTCTGTCTCTGCCTCCCACGTGCTGGGGAACAGGCCAGCCGCGCCCCGCACTGGCAAAGACGCACTGACCGGAAGAGCGCAGGGACATGCAGGTCCCCGCTTCCGCCCGCCCCGGCCTCGCCCGCCAGGACCGCGCACCCGGCCCCTGCAACCCAGCCGCGCGCCCCGCATCCCGCACCCACCGGCTCGCAGTCGCTACCACTTCCGGTTACCTGCCGGCTTCCGGGGCGTGCTCTGGGCGCGCCTGCGCAGAGCCCCAGAGCGCATGTCCGGAAGTAGGGGCCGTCTCTCCCCCACGCCGGCGTGCGTAGGTGGCCTGGGAAGCGCGTCCGCGAGCTCCGGCCCAGCCTGGGCCACCCCGAGGTCGGGTCTCAGGGAAGGGACGCGGGTCATCCCAGCACACGGGAGGCGGAGGCGGGCCGACTGCACGTTGGAACCCGGGCACAGTGCAGCCCGGTCCCGGACGCCCAGCGGCTCGGCCGGGAAGGTGCTCGGTTTGCGAGCCTGACGGCCCTGATCTCAGGGTGGATGGAGACGACCCACCCCAGCAAGCAGCTGTCCGACTCCCTCCCGTGCACCACGGCTCGCACACCCACATAGTCACAAGCACAAGATTAAGTCAAATCGTCTCAGCCGGGCGTGGTGGTGCACCCCTGTAGTCCCAGCACTCGGGAGGCCGAGGCAGGCGGATCTCTGTGAGTTCAAGGCCAGCCTGGTCTACATAGTGAGTTCCAGGACAGCTGGGCTACAGGGAGGCACTGTCTCAAAAAGATTAAAAAGAAAGAAGAAAAACTAAAAGGGGGTGTTTTAAAAATAGGTGTTTCAACAAATAAGACGGGTTAGACCTGTTCAGTAAACAGAAACGAAGTAATGGCTAAAAAAATTTTTTAATGGAAATGGAGGTCTTCCTTTTTTACAACTTAACGATGCTTGTTACTGAAGCCCACACGTGAAAACTGGCTTGCCATTGCAGAGAGAAGGCTGCTTCCTCAGAGGTCTGAGCTGTGCTGCTCTGCCCCTCTGCAGACATCTCCAGCACCTCACTGTGTTATGCAAAGTTCCCAGAGACCTCCAACCACAAACCCTGATCAGGAGGAGCGTCTGCACACCAGCAGGCAGTTGTCAGCACATCCGAAAACCTCGGCCTCCCCTCTCAAGTTCTCTGTGCTGGGTGGATGTTGGGAAATAACAGGAGGATGAGCAGCAGTTTCCAAATATTCCGATGCATCTTTTCTGGCCTTCAGTAGGAGTCATAAAAAAAACCAAGCAGTCAACCACACCTGCACAAACGACTCGTTTCAGCCTAGGACTTTTCAAACATTCATGTTACGAAAGAAAAGCTATAATACAGTCAATGAAAATGAATTGCTGGCATCACTTTTCCCACAGTATTACATAAAAATGGACAAGACAAAACGTTAAATAAACATCGTTATTAATCATTAAATATATTAACACCCAAATCATGTATAAATTAGGAAATAAATGTACAAACTATTTCACAAAGTGCTTTTAAAAATATATACACAACATTCAAGAAATTCTTAATGTAAGACATTTCAGATTGAAATTTCGGGGCGATAAATTTTTAAGTGTCTTTTTCTTTCAAAAAATGAATACAGCACTTAAAACACACATACACACACATATACAACAAAGGCATATTCCCAGATTGGCAAGGAATAAAAACCATTTTCACAGTTACTTAAAATGTTTTGACATTTTCAATAGGAAATTTCAGCCCTCAACTGAGCTTGCAGACAGCCTAGTTCTAAAAAAACAGCCTGAAAGAAAAAGAACAAAAAGAGAGCCAAGTCCCTAAGGAGCTGCTAATACTTTTGTCATTTAGCCATCAGGAGCTCTTCATCTCTGTCAACTTAACATGGTCACATACTCAGCCCTCGCCTCCTAAACCCTGTGCCTGCAGGATAAATACTCATACCCACGTTTGTTATCTGTTGTGTAGGTCAGAGAAGGGTGCCCTAGAACAGGACGGCAGCCAACAGAGACAAATCCTTTACTCTGACTTGATTCTTCATCTGTAAGTAGAAATGATACTTGCTCTGTATTTCCCAGCAAAGGCTGTTAGGATTAAGTTGTACAAAAACCATAAAAGTGCCTTGTAAATCCACAAGCATTGAATTACAGATGAAAGAATTAGTTTTGAAAACATAAAACTTATCAATTAAAAACACCAGAGCCAGGTGTTGTGGGGCACCCCTATAGTTCTAGTACTTAGGACGTGAAGGAAGGAGGGTCATGGAGTCAAGGTCAGCCACAGCTATGTAGTAAGTTTGAGGACAGTCTGGGCTGGATTAGACCTAGTCTAAAAAAGAAAAAAAGAAAAGGGTCATGCTGAGTAGGCCTGATATACCAGGCACTGGACAATTGGATATTTTTTGTATTTTCTTGGTGGTGGTTGGAACTCCCAACATTTATCTGAAGACTTTAAAAAAAAAAAAGATTCATAGTAATACAATTATTAGCCAAATAAATGGTGGTCAAATTTCCATGCTGGTTCGTCAGTATTTTTCCTTTGACCACACCTTTCTAAGAGAGCTGCCTTTAATGTTTACACAAAATCCAAACGTAAAAGTTACTCAAATTTCAGTATGTGAAACTTTTACTTTACAGTTAAAAGAACATCAAGTTATTTGGGTTCTTTTAAAAACAGGAAGTGGGTTTCTGATAACCCTAAACAGAAGGAACGTTTGCTTGGCATCCCGCACAAGGAGGTCCCGGAAGAAACAACACAAGATAAACACCTGCCGACTGTTAAGCTTGCCACCTTGCAATGCCTTACAGTATCTGAGCTCAGAATCGGGCGTATGGAAATCCTAGACATGACGCCAGCTAAACAGGGGCCACCGTCCCACTGCTTGTGGCCCAGCTGGTAGTGAACAGGCCTTGCTCTTCAGTGTGCTGCCCTCCTTGGGGTAGGCTAATAGCACACTGCCCTCATGGACACATTTATTCGGAATAGTCACTGAGCCCTCTTCATTTTTTAATACAAAGACACACAGCTTTAGGGGCTCACTGAAGAGACACAGGCAATGGGGTGCTCTGCACAGGAGAGCGCTCAGCCTCTCTGCATAAAGCACGCTTTCCTATTACAGTGGAACGGAGACTGGCCTAAGACACAGAAGGTGCCCCAACCCCCACCTAGGCACAGGAAGAAAACAGCCACCCAGGGCTGTGTGTGTGTCAATCTACGGGGAGCCAGTTATTTACAACCCACATTGCAACAATGGCATGAGAAGAGGCAGATAGGGGAATACGTGGACCATGGTGTCTTTTAGACTATGTCCATCAGTGGGCACAGAACATCCGATGACAGTATGACCCCCAGAGCTATATGAACATCAAAGAGGGGATAGGGGACAAAAGGGGTAACCTTTCCAGTGTGTCAGCACAGCACCAAATACGTCACAATCGCAGCACTGTCTCCTGCCAGCCTCGCACGCTCGGCATCATACCCAGCATGAAATGAGCACGCTTCACATGCAGATATGTCACTGGGCAGAGGGTAACCAACATGTTACGATTCATCAGAGCTGCCACCAGCTTGTCCATCTCCGGATGGACACACTACCACAAGGGCTCCAATGAGAATGCTTGTCCCTTATTGCTGGTAATTTCCATACTGGCCCTAAAAGAGATCAAGACACAGATTACACCTCCATAGTCCTGAATGAGCGGGTCCACAACCAAAGGGCAACAGTCTCCCTCTACAGTTAGCACCTCGACCCCAGGTGGAAGGAGGTAGGCACAAGGGCAAGCAAAGAGTCGTCCGAATCCATGAGGTGGGAGGAAACAATTCTCCAGTCCACAAGTTACCATCCCTCACCCTGGCGATCTAAGTCAGGGGGCGGGTCAGAGGGCATCATGCCCTCAGTGATGCACTGGGTTCTCTGATGGTGGAGCCCTGCCATGTGCATAACCAGACACTGTACTGGTCCTGCCAGGAAGGCATTGTCCCCTCTGCCCTGAGCGCCTCTGAGTGACTGATGGGTCAGCAGGGCTGATGCCAATACCAGCTCCCCTTAGCATACTCAAGGAAACGGAGTCAGGGTGACCTGGGTAACAGAATCAGTCAGTACAAAACCTGAGAAGAGAACTGGAGCCCAAGTCCAGAGTGCAGAGCAGGAGGCTGAATGGAACACTGCAGCCCAGGGAAGAGTAGCCTGGAAGACTGCTAACTTCCTGCCCCATCCCCCCCTTGGCGCCCAACTGGCTAGGTGGGCTTCTGGGGGTTCCGCTGAAGGTTATGCAGTCAGTCTGATGGGTCTCTGGTGCTGTACCTAGACCAGTGAAGCAGAGGGCCAGACAGACCCTGAGTACAAGCCCCAGGGCAGGCAGCACTTCAGCACTAAGTCCACCATGCATCTCTCAGGCCAGCTGCACCCAGGGGGCACTTGGCAGTGCCTGGAGCCGTATATATATGTACAATCCACACAACAGATCACTGGTGCTCGGCACTCGCTCAGACTCCTGTTCCCACTGCCTTGGCCAGAACCCAGAGGCAGACAGCTAACCCTGAGCTGCCCACAGGCTGCATGAACGTTCTGGAGTAAGGAGGCTGATCCCTGGGATGTCACTGCCAGTCCTCCCTGGAGGCAGGGGTAGTTATCACCTCCATTTCGATCTATGACTGAGTTAGAATGCCATTTGTCTTTCTATAAATTTCTGAGGCGTTGTGTTCAGACCTCTGGGAAAGAGGCACCCGTGTCATCAAAACCATCCTAGGAATTAGCCCTGCAGTGGCTATACACCACTACCACCCTGGAAACTGTGTTGATACTCATAAGAAAAATCCCTGCTATGCCTCACTCAGCACAGGGCAGACAGCACTTCCAGAACCATCCACAAAGCTTGCCTGCTCATAGCCGTAAGGCCGCTGCTGCTGGGCAGAGGGTCCCGTCTGCGATGCTCTGTAGCTTCCATACTGTTGGCCTTGACCTTGCTGATAACTCGAATACTGTGACGGGGCTCCCTGGGCAGGGCCTGTGAAAACATCAGGAGCTATGAGACCAGCAGGGGCCAGCTCGTCCTGAGGGTCTCCAGGCACTCAATCCCTGTTCTTCAGGAGGTAAGTGCCATACACCGGCTCACCAGACCTGCCAGTCAGTGAGGACTTGGGATTGTGTCGCCACTGGGTTGGGGCAACAAGGACCTGTGCCCAGCACAATGGATCTGCCACTTCCCAGAAGCAGGTGAGTGGCTGCCCCAGAATCAGCTCGTGCCAGGTATGGTGGACACTGTGAAAAAGGACCTTAAATGCAAGCGGAATGGAGAAATCTGAAAGCCGAAAAGAAATGTCAAGTTTCCTGTGAAACGTGGGCTGGGGCTTCGGAAAGAACTGATGAGGTGCAGTGCTGGCTTATTTACTTTTTTGTGGTGCTGGGGCTAGAACCTAGGTCATCACAAGCTAGTGTTCTACCATTGAACCATACTCCCAGCCCCTAGTAACTGTGTGTGTGTGTGTGTGTGTGTGTGTGTGTGTGTGTGTGTGCCAGAGGGTGATGTCAGGTCATCAGGTGTCTTCCTCAGTTGATCTTCATCTTCTTGTGCGTCAGAACAGGCTCTCATTGAACCTGGTACACTGCCTGGCTCGACTGGCTAGGCAGCAAGCCCAGGATCCACCTGTGTCTGTCCCTCTACCCCATATTGCGGTTGCAGAAGGGTGGCACTGTGCCTGGCTTTTATGTGCGTCCTGGGTATATCTGAACACATCCTCATGCATGGCAAGCACTTTACTGACTGCGCTATCTCTCCAAGCAGCGCCATCTAATAATTTTTAAAACGCTGTTTATTACAGTCATAAAAGTTGAACAGGTTTTTTTTTGTTTTTTTTTTTCGGCAGACATGGTCTTGCTGTATAACCCAGGCTGGACTTGAACTCACCATGTAGCCCAGGATCTGTAACCTTCTGCTTCTGTCTCCTGAGTGCTGGAATTACCAGTTCTGGCTCAGGTAAAACTAACTGGTTTCTTCCTTTCCCCCAGCAGAACTGCCTGTGAGTAGTGCAGTCAAGAGTGGAGATGGGGGCTGGAGAGATGGCTCAGTGGTTTAGAGCACTGACTGCTCTTGCAGAGGTCCTGGGTTCAATTCCCAGCACCCACATGGCGGCTACAAACCGTCCTTAACTGCAGTTCCAGGGGAATCCAAAGCCGTCTTCTGACCTCTGCGGCATTGCACGACACGGGTGCACTCACATACATGCAGGCAATACACTCGTACACATAAAATAAAAATAATAAATAAAATATTTAAAAAGAGTGGAGATGCTGTTCAGTTGGTCTGGAAGAAGTGCCAGCACCAAGTTTTTCAAAAGCTTCTTAGGTGATTCTCAGGGATTGCGAAAGCTGAGCTCACGGGCCAGACCCACTTCCTCCAAGAGTTAAAGCTGCCATGGACAAGGGATTAGGCTTGGGGTTTGTAGGAGCAAAGCCCAGCTCTGGCTGGGAAAGCCCCAGGACAAACACATGTGAGTTTATGTTTCACTTAGTATGAAATGTTTTAGATTGGGTATCTGACTTGGTAGTTGAGGGTATGTTTAAATATTTAGCATTGGGCAAGGCTTTGAGCTTAATCACCAATACAGTCAATCAATCAATCCATCAACCAAATAAGCCTACTTATCCACTCCACCTGGTCTGGTGGTGTTTGGTGATGATTCACGCACTCGATGAGTGTCACCTCCCATTCTGACATTGAGCAGCACAGACTCAAAGTGACAGTGTGAGGTGCTGACCCTCCTGTAACCCCCAGCATGAAGTATGCTCACCAGCCCCTGGGTCTTGGTTCACTCAAGCTGCTGGAGAGCTTACCGTGGCTCAGAGCTTTGGACAGACAGACCTGTAGGCAAGGGTTCCGTCATGGAACTGCCAGGAAGACAAGGCTGGAGAACCAGGGCAGATGTGGGACTAGATCTGGACCTGGTTTCAATGAGGCTGAACTTCTGTTCCTGTTAATCTTTTGGTGAGTGGGTCTTGAAGCCTTGTTCTCACTGAAGCTAGACACCTGCCCTGGACCCTATGTTCTCTCTGTCTACTTGTCTGGCTCCTACAGATCTTGAAAGCAATCTGCTGAAGGTCCCGCCAAGCCCATGGCAGGCTTGCTGGCCCAGTCTCACATCGGCTTTCCTAGGAAGTGAACAGATGGGGATGAAGGTGGGTGCATCTAACCCTACAGTCACGCTGCCCATCTCCAGCTGGGTCAGGAGAGTCAAGCTTGGAGTGTTACCACCTCCCACTCTAACCTACCTTCTGGGGCTTCTCTCTAACAGGAGGAACTAGGCTCCCAGGAGAACTCTTAGCCCTCACCTCACACAGGGCAGGGAAGGCATCATGGTATAGGAAGTCTAGATGTGGTCAAAAACCTAAAATGGAACCTCAGAGATGGTTCCACGGGTAAGAACGCTTGCTATGCAAGCATAGGACCTAGGTTCAGATCCCACAAAAAGCTTGGTGTGGCCACATGCCTGCCTCCAACCCCAGCACTGCGGGGGACAGAGATGGGAGGGTTACTGGAGTAACCCTGCTCCTTGTTCAGTGAGAGACCCTGTCTCAAAGGGACACGGTGGAGGTGACAGAGAAGGGTACGTCCTCCTCAAGCTCCATGTGTGCACACACCTCATACACTTGCACGCACCACACTCACACATACACACACGCAGAAAACAAATATGACAGAGCACTTCAGCCAGCTCAAAGAAAGTGCTCCCAGAAGCCAAAACCAGACAAAATAAAGTATCAGTACATCATAATACAAAGTTAATGCCCATCAGCCCATGCTAAAATGAGCAAATGACTGAATAGGGACCAACTTTTCCTCTCGGAAGACTTCCATGTATATAATGTCCTCTGCGTGGGACTGAATGGAACAATTCCAAAGAACAGAAGGAAGACAGGGCAAACGCCATCTTGGCCAGGGGCAAGGCCAGCTTTCCTGCAGATGAGCCACGTGGACAGCTATGCTGAGAAGGGCCCCTCTCTGTCTTCCCAAACTCAGGGCCCAGTCGCATCCCAACAAACCTCACTGAGGGACGTGCTGCAAAGTGACCACCCAGTCAGTCCACTCTACAACTGTCCGGGTCACTTGAGATCAGAAGGTCTCAAAAATGGTCACAGAAATGAAGTAGCCAACGACGCAGGACATGTAAATGTCATATGGGATCCTGGATGGGTTGGGGGACCCAAAAAAGATTGTAGCAGACAGTTAATGATGTCTGAATAAAGTTTAGCTCCCAGCAGAGGGCCAATGCTGGTTTCTTACTGTGACCAACATATTGGGTGGTCTTAGCCACAGAGAGCCAGGGTACTGGGTATGTGGAAACTCTACCCAACCCTCCAGCTTCTCTAGAAATCAGTGTATTTGCCTGAATGACAGTATAGTGTGTGCAGCCACAGCAGCTGCTGGGAGAGTCCATGAGGAGGCATGCCGGCCTCTTACCGTAGCCTTGCTGCTGCCCTGCGTAGCTCTGCTGGTTGGGGTACTGCTGCTGGGAGTATGTCTGCTGCTGGGCCGTGCCCTGCTGGTACCCAGCCTGCTGCTGACTGTACTGGGAATTTCCTGCAGAAAGAAGGGGACACAGTCTCAGTTCTGGGTGGTGCAGGAGGCACGCTGTCACCCACAAGATGAGCCAGTAGCTGAGGAATCCTTCCATCAAGTCTCCTGCAGTCATGTTTTCTTTTCTACAACGTCTCAAGTCTTGTGTGACATTTCATAGTTTTATAAGAAGCAAATGGAAACATGAAGCACATAATGTAACAGTTGAGACACGGCAGACAACAGAACTGTGCGCTGAACTGCTGTGCGCTGAACTGCTGTGCGCTGAACTGCTGTGCGCCCCCACTCCTTAATTTGGTTGTCAATTTGCCTGGACTCAGAATTACACAGTGGGAAAGCATCCCCAAAGTTTAACCGAGGAACAAGCCCACACAGTTCTGAAAGGGAAGAACCAACTCCTGCATCTGTCCTTTGCCCTCTATACCCGTGGATGCATGAGCATGCCCCTGAAAAGAAAAGGAATTCCTAAAAGTGCCTGGAAATAGAGCTGGGTCTGGTGGCACACATCCATAAGCCCAGCACTTCGGAGCCTGAGGCAGAAGACCATGAGTTTAGGCCACCCTGGGTTACAGTGGTTACCCTGCCCTAGAAAAAGAAGCTGATGGTTAAGAGCGCTGACTGCTCTTGCAGAGGACCGGAGTTTGACTCCCAACACCCACGTGGTAGCTGCGGACCATCCTTAACTCCAGTTCCAGGGGAATCCGAAGCCCTCTTCTGACCTCCGTGGCATTGCACGACACGGGTGCACTCACATACATGTAGGCAATACACTCATACACATAAAATAAAAAAACAAATAAAATATTAAAAACAAAAAACAAAAAACAAAACCTAGGGTTGGCGAAATGGCTCAGTGGTTAAGAGCATTGGCTGCTTTTGCAGAGGACCCAGGTTCAGTTCCCAGAACCCACATGGTGGCTCACAACCACCTGTAACTCCAGTTCTGGGGGATCTGATGCCCTCTCCTGGCCTCCACAGATACTGCATGACATGGGTGCACTTACACACATGCAAGCAAAACACTATTACACATAAAGATAAATAAACAAATAAATGTTAAAGCACTATCAGCATCCCACAGGGCAGAAGGTTGGATGCACAGAAGCAGAGAGACGAGGGCCCTCTCATCCTGAGCGGCCAGTGCCAGCGAGGGCAGGAGTGGACACTTATGTCCTGTGGAGGTCACTGCCTTCTTTCTGACTGACCTCTATGCTGGGAGTGACCAGTTACATGAGGACACAGGTACTGGGTGGATGCCACCTGGACACTCTTGGTTAGTTTACGTTCTCCCCACAGTCCAACAGGCCCCAGAGCTTTCCCGATGGCTTTGCTAACAGAGGCCAGGATGAGGTCCTGGTTCTGTTTGTACTTGTGATGGGCTTTCTGTTCAACCACAGGAAGGCACCATGCTGAATGCCCTCTCCTGAAATGCAGAAGGCAACGCACCTACAGCTCATAGGAGGTACGAATGATATGGATGGCTAAAGTCATCTGGTAACATATATTTTATATTTGAACTCTCAATTTCAAGGAAGCAAATGAATCAGTGTGGTTCAGAAAGGCAACAGACACATCAAAAGGGAAAAAGAGCCATTTCTGCCCCGCCCTGCCCAGCCTCCTCCCCACTCAGCTGCCGTTCCTGTCCTACTTTTCCGGTGTGTGCGCATGCTCATTTTTTTAAAAAATATTTTTTTAGGCTGGGTGTGGTGGCGCATGCCTTTAGTCCCAGCACTTGGGAGGGCAGAGTTAGGCGGATCTCTGTTGAGTTCAAGGCCGGCCTGGTCTACATAGTGAGTTCCAGGCCAGCTGGGGCTACAGGGAGACCCTGTCTCAAAAAGACCATA